GTGGATGTGTTTCCCTGCCCCCACTTCCCCCCCCCCCCAAAATCCAATTTGTTTTTAATTTTTAACTCATCCCCATCTTTTTTGGGTTTTACCAGCTCCTAGGAGCTATGGTGCTGCCTCCCCTCTTCCCATCCAGCCAGGAGCCCTTCCCCTGCCTCGGAGTTCCTATGGGAAGAGACTGCTGGAGCCAGGGGTCACCTGAGAGCTGCCACCCACCCTGCCCCGGGGGAGGGGACGGGCTCCCCACCACTTCCAGGAGTGCTTTGCTGCCGGGTTTTTTACTCTGCAAGCCGTGTGAGTGTGTGTGTCTGCTGAAGTCTAAATTAAAAAAAAAAAAAAAAAAACACAAACAAATATTTAAACGTTTTTTAACAAAATAAGAATTTATTTTTATATTTAAGCTAAATTGCCTTTGAATTCCTTCAAGCTTGGTTCAGTGAAGTTGCCATACCCCACAGCGCTGTTGGTAGAGTTTAGCTGCGCTGTCGCAGCCTGGTGAGGAGCCGGCCCATGCCCTGGCTCTGCCCGCGGGAACTAGCTGTGCCGGGGAAAGGCAGCTATGTCCCGCAGGCTCTGCTGCTGCGTGCTCCTCCTGCTCCTCCCGGCCTGCAACATCATCTCCTTCATTTTTAAAATGTGATGTATGTGGATGTGACTAAAATGTTATGTTTTTTTTTTTAATTATTCTTCTTTCTGAGGATGAGGAGCCGAAGCTCTTGTGTGCTACGGTGACAAGTGGTTTTCTTGTCTGCCAGGAAGAAGGCATCTCTCCCAGCGGGTAGAAGGGGGGCAGGTGACTGGTCTCTGTGCGGTGCAGAGGGGACAACAGTCCCTTAGCTGGGGGGCGGGGACAGAGGACGTGCTGGCATTGGGTTTCTAGCCTTCACACCAACGGGCTGTTGGAGCAGGAGCCAGCCTGGGCAAAGGTGTTCATGAGGGTTGGGAAAGCAGCTGAAAAGAGGTTAGTGGAGGGGAGGGCTGACCCTGGTGATTCCTCCCTCTCCCCCAGGCAGGGTGCTGAGCCAGGAGAGCGCGCGCTCCCCAGCCCTCGCACTCCCCAGTCCTCACAGGTGGCAGTGGCACAAGGCAGGACAAGTGGCTCTGGGGGTGCTGGAGCCAGGGCTGGGGTTTGGCCTGGTCAGCTCTAGCAACACCGGCGTGGTGGGGATGAGCAGGGGACAAGGTGAGGGCACTCTGGGGAGCACTGGCTGTTGGCACTGCCTCCCCCCACGTAGCTGCCCCATTTCGGTCCCAAGTGCCCACAGCCCTGCAAGGAGCCAGGCTGCATCCCCTCCCCACCGCACAGACCCTACTGGGAGAGAGCCCCAGGCCTGGGCTGCCATATATGGCCGGGGGAAGCTGGGTTTTAACTCAACTGAAGACTTGGATCATTCCTGGTGTGGCTGATGAGGATTTTAGTGTGAATGTGCAATTTTTTTCCTTGCTTCTTATGTCCCTGGTTTAAAATAAAAAGACTGTGTTCATGGCTGCCTTGCCTGTGTCTGATTCCTGGGCGCACGCAAGGGCCAGCAGCGCTGGTGGAGCACTGGGCGCTGCTTTCCAATAGCCTCCAGCTGCCCCTGTTCAAAGGCAGGTGCATGGACAAGATCATTACTAAGAAGTAGTATTTCACTTCCCCCTTGCCCCTCCCCCCTTCCAGCCGCTTTGGCTCAGTTATGAGCAGTGGCAATTTCAGGGCAAGCCTGCACAAACATGCGGGAAAAGACAGTGAAGAGAGAGAAGCTTTAATCTGTTTCATCCCTACAGTCAAAGGCTTTTCTGAAACCCTGCATCAGGCCAGAGGAAGGATTTTTAGGGAGGGGGGAACATGGTAAAATGACACTCTCTAATACAGCTGGAGTGCTCCAGCCCCACGGGGTGCAGAACCAGGGGTTGTGCCAAACACTGGCACTGGCTGCAGACTTCCCGAGACTGCCCCAGCCCAGGTCTGGCTTTGGGGACCAACTTTCCACCAGGGGCGGCCCTGGAGGAGCAGATTCCCCTTCTAGGGGGGGCACTAGGGCTGCCCCGGGGGTTGGCACTCGGTCCCAGGGGAACAGGGCATCACATAATTCCACCACGGCTGCAACTAGCGCAAAAGATTTACTTCTATTCAGAGGCCCCACTGTCCCCGGGGCAGCGGTGGCACTGGAGGAGTGCTCCCCACCAGCCCCAGCTGGGCACTGTGTGGCCCTAAACATGTTATTTCACTCCGTCACTCGCTGCTTTTTCCTCTTCCTCTTCTTGGGAGCTGCTCCTGGCTCCGTCCCCTCGCCCTGCTGTGGGTTCTTCTCAGCTGCCGCAGGCAGGGAGCTGTGGACAAGAGCAAACAGCCTGAGCCACGCACCCCAGGGCCCACTCGCCATGGTACTGCAGCTCCTGCCTGCCCCTGCTGCAGCCAGATCCCTCCACCTCCACCTCCCCTCGTCCTCCTCCTCCTTGTGCCAAGAAGGCAACACCCTCCCCCTGGCTGCCCCGAGCCCTTCCATGGTCCCCCCAGAAGCTGCTGGAGGGAGGCAGAGCTCCCCCCACAGACCCCCCCCTCTCACCTGGGGGCAGCAGCCCCTTTCCCACACCGCTCCAGGACAGCCACAAAGAAGCCGTGGGTGAGCGTGTCTGCAGGAGAGGCACGGAGGCAGCACTCGGCCTCGGGGAAGGCAGCGAGTCCTCGGCAGGGCCAGGAAGGGAAGGCATTCACCAGCCTGTGGCATGGGACAAGGGTCAGTGCTGAGCCCCGCAGCGTGTGTGTCCCCCATATACCCCCCTGATGCCAGCGCACCTGAAGGCTGAGCCCTGCTCCTGCAGCACAGCGTGCACCACATCCTCGTTCTCCTCCCGGTGCAGCGAGCAGGTGGAGTAGACCAGGCGCCGGAGACCTGGGAAGCTCAGGGCATGGCTCAAGACCTTGCGCTGGAAGCCGGCCAGTGCCTGCAGCCGCTCGGCGCTTGGGGCAGGCCACTCCCCTTGCAGCC